ATCTGTTTCATCCTTTTGAGAAACCTCCTACCAATCCTTCAAGCTGCACTTTTATCACAAAAAAATTGCACTCTTTTCTTGTTGGTGAAATCTTTGAGTTGACATCTTTTTCATCTTTCTCTCTTGTTGGCAGGTTTTTTGTGGTCAATTTAGTTCTAAGGTTGTTCATAAAATTATGTTCTATTTGAGATTGATTGGAGATTTTTCAGTCGAACTTGTTGATTCTTTTCATTTTTGTGTCATTTTTGTGAAATTATTTTTAGAAGTTGATTCTTAAAGACTCTTCTTTGGGAGTTTGTAATATGTGAATGGTTTTCGACGTAAATACTTGAGTTGTCTTTTAACTATGATTGTTTTGATGAACCTCCTTTTATGCTTATTTGGGTTATTTTTCATGACTATATTCGCCACTTCAACCAATTAACTCTGTTTTCTCTTGGTTCAACTTTTTTTTTTTTTAATATCTTCATGTGGATGTTGGTACTGTTAAGTTTCTAAGACGTTGGTGGCTAGGATTGATTCTATACCCTTACTATCTTTTTTTAGAAGGTGATTTGGATTGATTCTATTGCTAATGACTACTAATAGAGGTTATAGATTGAATGACCTCCTCCATATCAATCATAGATTGTGTCCAGAAATACCGAGAATTGTTGAACTCTCATAGCAATCATGATTCCTTGGAGCATTCAATTGACAAAGTCAACTTGCTAATGTAATGGTTTTAATTTTGAGCACTTCTGATCTGATTTGTGTCTTTGAACCATTTTTAGATCTTGCTTAAGATTCATAACCTTAGATTTTTGCCCAATTGAGGTGATCAACTCTGCATCTGCATATAAGTTCCTTGATCCAAATCTATTTGAAAAATTAGCTCCCGATGATCATCTTGTTGGGGATTTTGGTGATTCAGATTCTTAATTCGTTGAGTTTGATGTTAGTATTTATATGATAGGAGAATTAATGGTTTAATTGTTTTAAATTCTTTAAGCCAGGACATAAATAAAAATAATGTATATCATAACTCTCCAAGATTTGCTTGACTTCAAATAGAATGTTCTAAATGAGGATTCATAGGAGTCTTCTTTTTAGGCAGATGGCTCTTTCTTTGTCTATCCGGTTAATTGATGGTGTATTTTATTTTTATATTTTTTAATTAGCACTTGTGTAATTGCCTGGTTTTGTACTCTTTTCATAGGCTGATTGTAAAATTTTTGCTTAAAAATTATAACCCCTTCAGCTGGTTTCCACCCTTTTAAACCTTGATATCTAGACATTTAAAAGTTACGACCCCTTCCTCTATTCAAGCATCAATATTATCCAAATTAGATGGGAAAGGTTGTTTGTATTTCTTGGCTTTGCCAAAATTATTTTTTCTTCAATGTTTTGAGGGATAGTTGAAAGTAGCATATTTAGGTAATTAGAAGGGTCAACTAAGTTAATGAAATGGAGGATGAGAAGACTCACTAGCAAAAGCTAAGTTCCACATTATAATGCTATTTCGATTTACTTGTTAATATTTGGTTTCTATATAATAAATTCACGAGAAACCCTAATTGATTGTTGCAATCACTATTTTTAAAAGCTTAATTATTGCCTTGGTAAGATATCCAAAATAATTTATGAGAAGTCTTATGAGATTTATTTTCTCTCACGTAGATAGGAAGCATAAATTCTTTAATTAATGATAATCGAGTGACACACCCTTCACACTATGACACCAGGGACTTCCTCCTAACCACTTGGTAGGATTTGGACACCAATCTTATTAAGGAAGTTTGGATAATTTTTGGTATTAAAGTATGGTAAAAACTAAGGTTCAAGTAATTTAGAATGTTGAAAACTCCAACAATCATAAGTAATCAAGAGGACACAGACCTTTAAGAACTAATCACCACGCAAGGGAAAAATAACACTTTAAATTGATTTAGTTGTTGTAGCCGAAGTAGAAGTATAAGAATAGAGTTTTTAAGCATCAAATATCTTGCTTAGCATAATATAAAGTTTAAGAAACACCCAATTTGACAATAGTACGGACTTTTGCTAGTTTAGTTCAAAGTATTAACATGAGAAACCCCATCATTTGTTCCAATCTATTCACCAAAAATACCAGGAGCGTCACTAGTGGCTCTAGAAAGAAAGAGGAGAGATAGAGGCTTAGAGTAGAGGTTGGTAGAAAGAGAAATATCAATTGCAGGAGTAGAAGGAAATTTTAAGGGGGGGGCCATGATTCAAATGAATCTCAAGATCTCTTTACAAGATTCTGAAGTCGTCTTTAAATCTCCTAATTGACTTTAAGACGATTAAAACAAGTCTAATGATTGGGTTTGGTCATGTATTATGGCGCATAATTTGAATTTAGCTAAAAATGCCATATAAAGTGGAATTATTGAAAAAAACGTATCAATGGACTAGATGTATGTCCACACTTTGGTCAGTCAAACATAAAATTGTTGCAAAAGATTTTGTTTGAATCCTTTTTATGTTGCACGGTTGCATACAATGGGGACACGGACACAAGACACTTATATTATTAAAAATATAGGACGCAAACATAGTCGCCCAAGATTTCGAGGATGATTCTATTCCTTAGGCTCAAGATATGAGCCACAATAGCCAGTTTGGCAACTTGCAAACATTTTGCAAAAGATTGGTTTGAATCCCTTTTACAATTTTAATCCATTTTTTAATTTAGGATTTAGATACTATTTTTTAGGAGTTAGTTGCTAGATTCTAAGAGTTTGTTGCTACTTCTAAATAGAAATCCCCATCTTCATGTTGCTTCAGAATTTTAATTTTTTTTAGATTATCATCTATTTCTCTTATAGAAAAGGAGACCTATTATGATATAAATATATAAGCATGCAAGGGAGCTAATTAATGTCTGCATTTTCTACTTTTGTTAAAAAACATCACTGTTTCTAGGTTGGATCAAGAGTGGAAGAGGCAGATAAAAACAGGGAAATTAAAAAATGGTAAATGTGAAGGAACTAGCTAATAACTTCTATCATTATGTTTTATTTGTTTTTAGCTATTCTATGCGAAATATGTCTATGATGTTGGCCCCTATACAAACGGTAGTATTTTATATTACTTTGAAAGTTTATAAAGTCAAACCTTTGAATGAGTGTTTTCATTTCTACCCTTACTATCTGTACATGAAGTTCAAATGTCTTCACTTGGGAAGTGTTTTACCAGTGTGTTGATGTTTCTCTCTCTGCTACATTGCCACTCTTTTATTCTAGCTAACATTATCCACCATTGATTCATTTTACTGCTGATTTTCTATTTCTAACATCTGCTCATCGCTTCTTAGTTCCTGCAATCCACTATTCTAGTCTTGTTCCAAACTTTATGGTTTTTTGCTATGTTGCCTTGTCATTGGGGTTGATATGTTCAGTGACATGCTTGCTCATTAGTTGTCATGGAAGAGTTTGGAAGAATTTAAACATTCTATTTTGAGTTGATTCCTATAAATCTGCGTAATTTTTTATTTTGGATTCGTTGAAATCTATAAAAGTAACTACTGAGGCAAGAAAGTTTATTGTACATTAAATAGTGAAATAAAAATTTAGTTTTTTTTTTCTCTCCATTCAAGTAGGCATGGAGGTTGTTGATTAAATAAAATCTACAAATGCCTTAAATCATCTTATATGTAATGATTTTATTTTCATGCCCAAAATGAATAAAAACAAAATAACCATTTTTAAAATATATATATTCTAGCTACAAATTTTCAAGGGGGCATTTACATGCATACCAACTAATTCCTATGTATTTACATATCAAAAACCTCATCTTGTTTTTTACATGTATACCGCCAAATCTTGCATATCACATCAAAAAATACCAACCATTTTTACTTTAAAAACGTGGAATACACCTTTTTATGCATAGGTAAGGTGTTAGATATGCAAATACATAGGAATTGAGTGGTATGTATGTAGGGCTGTCAATTTGGCTCGTTGTTCGTGAACAGCTCGTGTTCGGCTGAAATATAAACGAGCCGAACACGAACAACAGTTTGTTCGCTCGTGTTCGGCTCGAAATGACTCGAAAAAAAATTATATAACTTTTTATATAACAATATATTACATATATTATTTATATAATAATATATAATATATATTTATGTCAAAGTATAAATCATAACATCTCATGTGGCAATGTGGTTAGTGTCTTTTTTTGTATAGATTTGACCCATGTTCGAATCCCACACTTTACATCAATTTTTTCCAATTTTAGTTTAACGAGCCAATTTCGAGCCGAACACGAGCAGAACACGAACACAAATATTTAAACACACGAACACAAATATTTAAATCGAGCCGAACACGAACATACTGTTCACGAGCCGATTTCGAACACGATCCGATTTCGAACACGAGCTATTTCGAACGAGCCGAACACGAGCCAAGCCTGAGCTCGCTCAAGCTCGGTTCGTTTACAACCCTATATGTATGGAAACCTTCCTTCTTAATGTTTACACATATGCATATGCACATATCTACAATATATACATGGATTATGTTGTGCTTCAACTAACATAGTTTTTTCCTGGTGGTTCATTTCTATTTGTGCTTTTAGTGACTTTAAAAACTCTACAAACTTCTTACATGCTTCTTTAATGTGGTAATTTCATTTCTCTAGTCAAAATGATTAGAAATGAAATTATCAAATTTTTTTTTTATAAAAAGGTTTCCTTCTAGAGGAAACAAAATGAGCCGTTAGAGAGCTCTGATGTAGGTTTTGAAACAACTATGGTTTTGCAGAGTTTATTTTTCTTGCCATTTCAGTTATTTTGTTGCTTATTTTCACCCTTTTTTGGTACTCTTAAATCTATTTGTACTGCAAATTTTGGATGATTATTCTGTAACCATTGATACAGCCTTATATTTCCTTACCATAAAATATCTTTTCATGTTGGTATCTTTTTCTTCCATAAAATTGCACCAAAGCCCTTATTTGTAAACTTTTATATTCTAATCGACTGGTCGCAGGACATTCTTGCAATTCCGTTCCGCCTTGGGAGATAAAATTCTGCAGCCAAATTCCTTGGGGGAAATTCTGCGAAGACAAGAAACTCACTCATTTGTTCGAAAATGTGCTCAACTGGGACGACTCGGCCGGAAAAGAATCATTCGATAATGCAAAGGCTCGTTACTGGGCTGAAATTAACGGCCTCCACTGCGACATCCCCTTCCCCAATCCCGATATGTACATCGATGTGGTCGATCAAGACGCTTTTCTCGATCCTCGGCTGGTGGAGGATTTGTATAAGCCACCACCACTGCCGCCACCAACTCATAAAGAGTTTCCAGACTACAACTCAATAAAAATCATACCAACTGGATGGGATGTAGAGGATCCAGCTACATCAGGAGCTCAAATCCCGATTTTTATTACGGCCGGCGGCGATCAATCTCCGACGGAACTTTCTCGATGCGGCCATGCTCAGAATCCAGTTCTCGATAGTGACGGCACCGCAATAGTGCCTACAGGATGGGGCGACGAGGAAGATTTCGGTTCGAGCAGTGCACGGAAACTATCAATGATGTATTCAAATGATGCTTCATGCGGCATAGCAAAGGAGAGTTCCTGGGACCATAGACAGTATTGGAACGGCACGAAATATGGAAACTGGCGAAATGGGAGAGGCATGACACGTCGATTCGATTCGAAACCTTGGCCTGTGACGGACAAAGGCGAATATTATCGAGTTAAGGATAACTCGAGAGGTTTTCGCGGCAGGAGGAAGAACTACACAGATGAATACTATTACTGGCATCCTTCTGCTTTTAGAGATAATGATCAGAGATGAGCTGAATCAGTTGGTGTTTGGCAATGAAGTAAGTCTGTATGCTTTATTTCTTAATAGTGTGTGTAAGAATAGGAGCAATAGTTTTCTTCCATTCTCTATATCAATACATACATATAGATAGATATAGCTTTAAATTTTTAAATTTGTTCTAGTGAGAAGTAAATATAAATGAACCTCTGGTTGCTTGAGGCAGCAGTTCAGTATAAATAAGACAGAAATATTTGCATTTGTTACTTCCAAATTTCTTTCATGTATTTCTCATATATTTATTTATTATTATATTTTTAACATATTTTTGATGTTTCACCTGTCCTTTTAGTAGAGTTATATTTTTCACCTGATGGTTCATGGAACATTTGAAAAATTATTGGGAAAATTTACATACCATACCACCCAATTCTTTATGTATTTACATATTTAGCATATGAAGTTTGATATTTGTATAAAGGGCCCATTTGGGGCAGCTTATAAGTGCGAGCGGTGTTTTCAAAACGCCGCCGTACAGCTTGGTTCGCGCGTTTCGCCACTTATCCGAAACCGCGTTTGAGTTTTTACACTAAACGGAGGCTGCAGACCGAATCCCGCGTCCCGCCTGCGGGCTGCGTTTCAGGATAAGCAGCTTATCCTGAAGCGCACTAGCTGCCCCAAATGCACCCTTTGTTGTCATTAAAGGTTTTGCATAAAAAAGGTGTGTTCCAATTTTAGAAAGCGAGTAATGTGGTGTTTTTGTATGTAATATGAAAGGTTTGGTTATTTTGGGTACTCCCTTAATGGGCATGTTATGGCTGGTATGCAAATGATAAATAATTTGGGTGTTAGATGTGTAAAAAAGTAATGTTTGGTGTTAGATATGCAAATGATATATAATTTGTTTAGCCACCAAATATATTTTGAGGTAGGTTTGTGGGACGAAAACAATTATTAAACCAAATTCTCAATGGTTTGATTGTGGCATAACTAAATATATCGGCTCGGTAGTTTAAAAGTATAATGAGCAAAGTTTTAGGTGCTATGTATATAATTATGCTTTACTATTATTATTATTTAAAAATTAAATAATAATAATTTTTTAAAGTTATTATATTCTAATAAATTTGATTGTAAAAAAAGAAAATAATGAAAAACTATTTCAATTAGGTTATGCATAATCGGTATTTTTTTTTGAGAAAAGATGAGAGTCACACCTAGGGCTGTCAAAACGGCTCGTTGTTCATGAAGAGCTTGTGTTTGGCTCGTTAATTTTGTTCGATATATATATATATATATATATATCAATATACATATATATTAATTAGCATTTAACAAAAATCTAATTGACTACAAAGATTTATAATCAATTAAAATATTGATTAAGAAAATAGAATAAAAATTATTAAATTAAATTCAAATGATGTTTTAATATAAATAATAATTTTTAAATCTTGTTCAAACCTTTATTGTCTTATGTATTATAGGTACATGATTATGGTTGTTAAAAGGGCTATTTGTTCGTGAACAGCTTGTGTTCGACTCGTTAAGCAAACGAGCCAAACACGAACACAATTTTTGAGCTCGAAATATAAACTAGCCGAACAAGAGCGAGCCTAGTCACACCTAACTTTATTCTGAAGAGAAAAGAAACAACTCAAGAGACAAAACACAACCTAAAAAATAAAGTATAAACAACAACACTGAAGATAAGACAGCGACAAATAAAAGTTCTACAATACAAGATGGAGCTCAAAGAAACAAACAGACAATAACAATAAAAATACAATTCTAACACTTGGAAGAAGGAAAAACCACTTGAATTAGCACCAAATTGCCTCAAGAAAACCCAAGCTCCAAATAATCTTCTAGTTGGAGAAGAACCACAAGGATTAGCAACAGACAACACCACCATGATCAACAATAGACGACGTCATTTGGAATCACAACGAATAACATCTAACCATAATCTCGAAAACTAGATAAATTAAAACAAAAACAGACAAAATATAGCTTAGTAAACATATATCTCATAAAGCTTGAGAGACAAAACTAAAGGTTCAGTCAAACCCAAACCCTCTAGGGAGGCAAAAAATGAGGTAGTGAAAATATAGCTTAGCCAAACCCAAACTAATACTAAGCGACTCCAACCATAATCTAAGAAATAATATCCTGTAATACAATCATTAAACTATAAGGCTGACTAATTCAAGGCAGAAAATATGAAATAACTCGATAAGCATCTCAAATACTAGTCATAACTTTTATTAAATGGTTTAAACAAAATTTCCATCCAATTTTAATAAAAAAGAGGTTAATGAGGACATTAGGACAGTTTTAAAAAAAATGACTAAGTTTCATAGCATGAAATCACTACATCATAGCTAAAAAAAAAAAAGAAACAGTCACAAAAGAAAAAATCAAAAGTAGTATCTGAATTATTATAACAATATTTAAAGAAACATAAAACAAAAATCAACAAAAAAATATCACACTTAACATAACATGAAAAAATGTAAAAACAGTTGCAACAACAACACCAAAAAACCGAAAGACCCCACAAGGAAAAACAAGGGAGAAATAAAGCCTAAAGAGGAAAAGCTAAACAAAGAAAAAATAGAAGTAGCCAACATATATACTAAATTTCCATCCATGAACTTAAGCATATAAATATGCCAAAGAACAATTAAAATTTAACATAAGAATGTGAAACAACCAAGAAAATCAAAACAAGGAAGCTAAGGCTAACATAATCTAGAACTCTAGATTAAACAAACAGAAAACAACACAAAGAAAACAACCCAACTAACAAAGTAAAATAAAAACTTCGTATTCAGAATAAAAAACATAGACCCATTAAAGAAAATAAAAACAGAGAAAAAAAATCAGAAATTATAAAACTGTCTACTAGAAACAGGAATATAATCTTTTAAACTTTCATTTCCTCCTCTTGTAATTGATTAACCAATGAATTTAATAAATATTAGAATCAACAGAAGTATGATGATTCCTGAAAGTCTTGGAATTTCTCTAATACTGAATTTCATAAGCATTAACTTACAAGGTAAAAAGATAAAAACGCTTAGAAATTTTTGCAAGATAAATTATCAAAATGAAAAAAGAAATTGAAAAATATTACTAGGGGCTGTAAAAAAAAATTACCATTGGGTAAACATCCTTTAAGAAGCATAAGAAAATAAGAACATTTAAAAATGAGATGATAATGAGTTTCAAGATAGTTCATACATAAAACACAAGCAAGATTAACATGCATACCTCTTAAATAAAGAATATCACAAGCTTTCAGCCATTTAATAGTAATTTTCTAAATATAAATATCATATTTTATAGATGAAATTTTAAATCAAATCATCTTAAACCTATTAACAGGAGAAAAACATACATAGATAAAAAGATAAACATCTTTATGAAAATAACTAGAACCATTATTCCAAGAGTAAGACTATTGGGAATAATGATATTGTTACTAGCATAAATACAAAAAAATAGGAGCATTATGATGAGGAGGAAATTTTCAACAATTATTATCAACATTATCCTTAAGTTTTGAATTCAGAACAAAATTAAATCATGTAAAAATAGAGTCAACAAATTTCTCAAGAAAAAATACCCTCAAACTAATGATCAAAATAAAATAACATAGGGCTTTCATTAGTAATATGGGAAGTAAAATCATTCCTGAGCTTTATAATAATTATAATAGTACCTTTCCAAAAAGGAGAAGATACATAATTAAATTTACACCAAAAAGATTAGAGCCATAATGATTCAAAAGCCAATCTCTCAAATAAGAATTAGAGTTATAACATTTCCATTCAATTTTAATTTTGCACATCAAATTAATATAATTCAGCGCATGAAGATCTAATCCACCAACTTGTTTAAGCAAAATAATTTTATTGAAAGAAATAATATAAAGTTTTTTGATATCATCAATATTAAGAAAAAATTTGGAGATCATAAAAGAAATCTTCTTCTTCAAACCATTAAGTAAACGGGCAGAGATAACTTCGTCAGGATATCTCCTTTGCTAAACGGGCAGGGATAGCTGCGTCAGGATATCACTAATTCGTCATTCCAAGCTACTAAATCTACCTGGTCTTGAAGGTAGTCAACCCAACATAACCAAAGACTCCTTGCTAGCAATTTGTGAATTGTGTCGTTCAAAGAGACCATGATAGCCCTAAAGTCAAAAGCATGAAACTCTATGTCCTATGACCTATAAAGATAAAAATCATAGCGGTAGAAGTAGCACTTGCCAAATAAAGGGCGAATATGCGACCTTAAAGAAGATAAAAGAGAGGTCCAGCTACAAATCTGAACACACTCTCAACAAAAGACTTACTCCCCTTCTAGGTCGAGGAAGCCTCTAACACCTTAATCACATTCAACAACCACCTAAGTAAAAATTGATGCGAGGCTAGTCAGGTTGAAGAAGCACAGTGGTTTGTCCTCGGGTCATGCAAATATGATGTAGTTATCTATCACAAACTTAAACATTGAGACCCTATTAAGTATGATGGGTGTATAGTCATGTAGAAGACCTGTTTTAAAATCGGCTCGAACGCCATGCGAAAAAGTAAGTGTAAGTTCTAAAATCTTGAAATATTTTAATCCTAAAATTTTGATTAACTTTAATCTTTTATTATTAGGATTTTGTAGAAAAAAAATTATGATTTTAGGGTCTTTTAATAGCCTAAGTTATAGACTTGATTCCCAAATAAACCACACACAAAAAGCGATGAAACTAGCAAAGATCATGAATAAAAATGAAAGAAGCAAGACAAGCACAAAAAAAATATAGAGGCCGGTACCGTTGAGTTAACAACATATCCCAGGAAAGCAGAAAAAGCGGGCGAACTCCGCATATACTTACTCGTTCTTAGTTGTTTACATGAATATAAATTCAAAATTAAGGTACGACACACGACCAGCTGCTCCCGATCCCCATCACGTGGTTAGGTGTGTCATGCAGCTTGGAGCCTGTGACCTTACCTTATTTCCGATACAGACTCGATCCTAAAGACTCTATCAAATACATGATGAGATAATAAAAAAACCCGACTTGCGGGAGAGTTAGCACAAGTTATATCACATAACATTTATGAGCCATGCCTGGTAGGGAGGAGCTTAGCAACACCTGCAAAAAATGTTAGTCCTTAAATCATTACTTGCTCCTCTCTTTTTGTGTGTGTGTGTTTAAACATGACTCCCTACAAGAAAACAACTCCTAATATACTATTGCGCATGTCCACATTCACTAAACACACAAAAACACATGCAAAGTGATGCCTGGATAACACAACCAAACCAACAAAGAACAATAGTCCGACATTAAAAACGATTACCTATCACCCTAATCCTAACCTAGTACACCATCTAATGAAAGTGTCATAACAAAACATCTAAATGTGCACAAGGGGACAAGGGTAAAGGCTTCCGTATGACTTTGACGGACTCGTTAATTCCGACTCCGTCCTAAGGATCCAAGGGATCTAGAATATGACACCGAGGTGATGACATTTTGAAAGGGTGGCCTCACATATGACCTAAATTAAGTAATTTTAAAATAAGGTGGATAGTAATATATATATATATATATATATATTATATATAATATTTTTTTAAAAATAAAGGACCTCACAATCAAAATTCTTTAGAGTCATTGGAACATTAGCATAGTCATATTGTTTGCTGCTCATAATACAAAAACTCACATTGCTCGCCGAGATATCCTAGCAAGCAATGATTGTTTAAATATTACGACCAACAAACATACCACTCATCTAAATAATCAACTTGCTATCAAAATGGATTTGGTGATGCACATGCAAAAAAAAAACAAAGATGAGGCAGCATGCCACGGTCGCTCCAGCGAACATGTGTGACATAACCAAAAAATTGAGCATGATATGAGTGTTTCAACATGTGTAAACATTTGTATTATAACCTAAAAGATAGTTTAACACAAATAAGCTCATTTTGGTCGCCAACCCATGTATAAACTTTTTTTTATTCATCCTCTCTTTTTTCCATTCTTCGCCGAGGCTCCCCGTGGAGGTTTTTTATGAACCCTTGGAACTCTGAAGGATATCCATGAATGAATATAAGCTTTTCCGCGTCCGCATGGAGAGAGGGGGTGCGCCATATCAGGTGAAATCGTTGCTCGGGGCCAAACACGACCCAACGGCCTGAAAGTCATTTTACTCCCGAACGTTCGTAGAAATGTTTTTATTGATCCAGAAGCTACAGAAAATTTTTGTATTGCTAAAATATGATCCCGTGACTCAAAACGAGTATTCCAGTGGTTCTAAATTAGGGATTTTGGTGCCAAGAACCATCACGAATCCCTTCTTGGGTAGACCGGTTTACACCCTGATTTTTTAAAAAAATGCGTGTGAGAGAATTTGATGACTCCCCTCGACTATGGGAGGCTCCAAATATGCAGACTATGATCTCTAAACACCAAGATAGACATAACACTACCCCACGAAGAATTTCCCCAGGTCGAGCAAAACCGATATCGATCATAGTTCCGTGCCCAAGACACTTACCATAGCATTCAAGCGGACATCCCACACATACCACACCAAAAATGATGTCAACAACAATGAATTGTAGACGAGAAACATTAAGAAATCATATGAATATACACTAATTTAAAATAGGAAAATTTACATACATACACCTCAACTTCTAAATATTTACATATAGAGCAATTGAATTTTAATTTTTACGTATATATACTACCTTACTTATATATGAACAAGTTATATTTCACTTCCAAACGGTTAAAATGGTAATATTTTTATTATCATCCAAAGATTTGGATGATATAAATATTTTAAAAATAAAATGAAGGCATTACATACATAAATAATTGGCTGGTATACTTGTAAATGTCACTTTAAAATATTACATATTACTTATCACTTAATTACATAGATATTATCATATTAGATTACATGAGCATGGAGAAAACATCAAGAATATGCCGCCGGCGCGTCCTCCCGCCGCTGCCCGGAAGCCATACTTCTACTCCGGCCACCGCCGCCCTTTCACAAAACCGTCCGGTCGTCTTCGGCGGTCTTTTCACCAACCGCGAAACCCTACCCTCCTCCGCCGCCGACCGAATCTCGGTCCACCGCCGACCACCTAATCCTCTTTCCTCCCCCACTATCGACTTCCGTGACTGGGACCCCGAACTCTCATCTCCGTCCTCCTCCTCCTCCGTTCCATCTCTCCCCGACTCCGATCGTCGCCTCTCCCCTCTCGCTCGTTTCATCTGCGACTCTCTCCGTCGCCACAGCAGGTGGTGCCCTGCCGTCCTCACCGACCTTCAAAAACTCCGACGCGTCACCCCCGATCTTGTCTCCGAGGTACTGAAATCCCGCCCTCTCCTCCCCCCTTCCCTCTCCACTCGATTCTTCCACTGGGCCGCTCGCCAGAAGGGTTTCTCCCACACTTTCGCTTCGTATAATGCCTTCGCCTATTCTCTCTCCGCCGCTGGGCTCTTTCGCGCCGCCGATCAGGTCCCAGAACTCATGCTCGCGCAGGGCAAACCTCCGACTGAGAAGCAGCTGGAGATCCTCGTTCGATTCCACGCTGATGCGCGCCGCCCTCTACGGTTGTTTCATCTGTATCGCAAGATGCGAACCAGGTTTGGTGTTTCCCCTCGCCGTACTTTTCTTTATAATCGAATAATAGATGCATTGGTGAGCTGCGGCCGGTTGGATTTGGGTCTTGAGGTCTACGATGACCTCCGAGCTGATGATGAGCTCAAGGAGGATGCAGTTACTTTTACGATCATATGTAAGGGTTTCTGTCGTGCTGGTCGGATTGATGAGCTTGTTGATCTAATTGGTCGGATGCGGAGTGAGGTTTGCCGGCCGGATGTGTTCGCGTACACAGCGATGATTAGGATCTTGATTTCGGCGGGGAATGTTGATGGTGGGATTAGGGTTTGGGATGAGATGAAGAAGGATGGTGTTGAGGCTGATGTGATGGCGTATTCGACTTTGATTTCCGGGCTTTGTAAGGCGGGCATGATGGAGAAAAGCGAGGAGTTGTTTAGGGAGATGAAGAAGAAGGGTTTATTGATTGAACGCGCAGTGTATGGTGCATTGGTGGAGGGGTTTGTTGCTGAAGGAAAGGTGGAAACTGGGGTTGAGATTTTTAGAGAGATGGTGGGGGATGGTTATCGTGCAGATTTGGGGATCTACGACTTGCTGATTGGGGGTTTCTGTTCTGATGGGAGGGTTGATAAGGCCTTCAAGATTTTTCAAATTGTAGCATTGGAAGGAATCGTGCCAGAGTTTACTACAGTGTCGCCATTGTTGATTGCTTGTGCAGAGGGGCATGATATGGACATGTTCTTCCAGTTGCTTGATCGGATCAGTGGATTGGGTTTGTCTGTTCTTGATCATCTCTCAAGCTTTTTCTCTGCATTTCTGGTGAAAGGTGGGAGGGAGATGAAGGCTCTGAAGATCTTCAACGATCTGAAAAGCAAAGGCTATTGCAGTTTGGCAATCTACAACATTCTTATTGAAGCACTTCACAAGATCAACGAGCTGAAGAAGGCATTGTCATTGTTTGAAGAATTAAAGGATACAGAACACTTGAGACCGGATTCAGCTACATACAGTCTTCTCATTACTTGCATTGCAGAGGATGGAGATTCTATAAAGGCCTGTTCATATTTCAACAAGATGAAGGAGAATTGTTGGACTCCTACTGTTGCAGCCTATAGCTCCCTTGTGAGAGGACTTTGCAGGATTGGCGAAATCAATGCTGCCATGAACTTGGTCAAGGATTGCTTGGGGAGTGTAACCAGTGGTCCTATGGAATTCAAGTACTCTTTAAGAGTTCTAGATGCGTGCCGCTCGGGAAAACCAGAGAAGGTAATGGAGGTTTTAGATGAGATGGTGGAGCAAGGTTACCCTTTGGAGGATATTATATACTGCACTGTAATTTATGGTTTCTGCAAATATAGTAGCTCAGGGGAAGCAAGACAGGTGTTTCAGTTTCTGAAGAAGAGGAACATATTTACTGAGGCTAATTTCATTATTTATGAGGAAATGCTTAATGAACATTTGAAGAAGGAGACTGCTGGCTTAGTTATCTCTGGGTTGAAATTTTTTGGTTTGGAGAAGAAATTGAAGTGGGCAACTAGCTTGGATGAAACTTGCTGATGCATCTATCAGGTATGTTCTTCACTCATAAAGACAGTACCTTTCTCAAATTCTTCAGACAATTTTGGGGCATTTACATGCATAACATGTAATTCTTATGTATTTACATCTTTTTAATATCACATAAAAAATAACACTAATACTATCTTTTTAAAAGTGAAATACACCTTTTCATGCAAAAGTTTAAAGCACCAAAGTCTTATGCATGTAAATATTGAAGTTTAAGCGTGAGATATGCAAATGCATAAGAATTGTGTGCTAATTGTGTACATTTCCCATTAATTTCCCAAGAATACGCCTCATATCCCGAATTCCATTCCTATTTGAAGCGAACTCATTATATTTATATGTTTGCTGCTTAAATTTTCTCTGTTTAACAAATTTACAACTATGTTGACCTTAACTAACCATGATTAGCACCCTTTAAAAAAATAAAAATAACTAACCATTATCAGAACAATTTTTATCATGGGCTTATGGCAAACTTCCAACCATCCATTGATCATAACAAAATATCTTTTTAGGTATTACAGTTGTAAATTTACTTTTTAACAATTTGTAATAACAATTGAGCATCCCAACTGATTTTGTTTCAAAAAAATTTTAACTTTCTTGGAAACAAAAAAATAAAATTGTTGAAACTGTTCTTCAAAATCATTAATTCACCCAAAAGATTTATCAAAATCATATCCTAACAAATGTGAAAAATAAAATTTTGTACCTCATGATACTTATATTGTCATTGATCAGAACTATTTATGACCCAATGTCATTTACATTGCATTATCAACTAATTTTTTGATCGACCCAATCAATATTTCTTTTATTGAATCAATAATGATGATAAAATCCTAAAGTTTTTTTTTTTTTTACTAATTTAACGTAGGACTATAATTCAACTATCATGATGTGTGATATGATTTCATGCAAATGGAATTAGAAGATTCACATATCCTAATCTATCAATTTCATTAAGAACTCAAGTTCAATTGATTATGAAATGAACAATACATATTTGTGAATTTTAACAGGAACTTAGAAGCAACTAAAATCATTGAGCAAAAACTTACTTTCCTTTGATAATACCAGTGCTTGCATTGCTTTGTAGCTTTAATAAGATCCTCTTTTGCATTTGCACAATTCTCATGTTTGAGGTTCGGACTAATATTCCACCTTATATGCCTCCTTTTATGCTTACTATTTTCCTCATGAAAATGCCTTGAAATGCATATTTGCCCATTTTTCAACGGAAATTTACATAAATACAACTCAATTCTTATATATTTAGATGTCAACACCCCAAATTTTAATATTTACACTTATAACCCCTTGATGTCATAAACCTATGCACAAAAATGTGTGTTTTACCGTTAAAGATTCAATTTGTATGCAAATAAATACAAATGTTTAGGCATTAGATATGTAAATACATAAGAATTGTGCCTTATGTATGTAAATGCCCCATTTTTTAAATTTCTTGCCATTCAGATTTTCCATGGGATATAAATTTCTGATTCAAATAACTTGGACAAAACTCTGAAAACAGGTGACAGGAAATTGACACAACTTCTCGGTTATCTCCTTTTCCGACACAGAACTGCTTATTTTATGCAGTTAATCAAGGCACACTTTGATCCAGAGCATTACAAATTGAAACTATTACCAACTTTTAGGAGGGGATGCAGAGAATCATTACTTCAGAAATGGGTAATATCAGTGAAATTTACATACTTAGCACACAGTTCTTATGTATTTACATATCTCACACTTTAACTTTCATCTTTACATACATAGCATTTTGGTGTTATTTTTGATGTGATATTGAAGATTTGAGTGCTATGTGCATAAGTATATGAGAGTTTAGGTGTGAGACATGTAAATACATAAGAATTGTTTGCCAAATATGTAAACATTACAAGGGCTTTGGCCCAGCTTTCATGGAGGTCAAGCTCTCAAATTGACTTCTATTCTGCAGTCTTAATGAAAAATGTGAGAAATGATTTAGGGGCCAGTCACTATCTTTCTCTAAACAGGTGGATTAAGATTAAAGTCAAGTTTCATATTATTAATTTTAATACTTAAATTTATTCATTTTATTTGGGGAAGGTGAAGTGTGTGCATGTGACATGATTCTTCATTTTATTTTCAATCAATGTTCAACACATTCTAGCACTAAAAATCATGACGTGCGAACTTCGAATCGGAAAAAAAGAAATGTTTAAGGTTCGAAGATTTTGAGTTTAAACTAGATGATATGATAAATATTTAAATTATTTTAATATTCAAATAGTGATATATTAATATTACTTTTATTGATTTGTCAAATGGATAACACTTTTGAGTATTTTGAATAATGTTTTAAATTTAAAATTTAAAATATGCTTTTTTTTTTAATTTAAATATCTTATTTTTGGCCATCCGATCAAAATTAAAATGCCAAAATTGGATAATTCCAATTCAATTGTTTGTCGGTTCATCCTCGGCTCTGACCGGTTCAATTTCAGCTCCATGCAAAAACGGTTTTGAGCTTAGATCGAACCGGATAAAAGATAAGTTCACAGTTGAATTGATCGAACTAACCTTAAGATGAATGTATAATCACAAAAATAATTACTATAAAATTTTTTAATGCGTTCTCATTCTTGTAAAGCTAAGCCATCGAAAATAATAATCGTAATTATTTATTATCATACTCTCTCATCAATTTTTTAAATTCTCACTAAAATATCAAAATTCATGGTAAAACCAAACCCATATTTTTCATTTTTATCAAATTCTCATAGTGTGTTATATATATATATTAAAATTTAAAATATGGCTTATTCAGCCACATGCAATTAATTTAGGATCCGTTAAGCTTAAGCCGAGATGTGCGGCGACCAAATTAGAATCACAATAATCCATTTAACACCATTGCCGTATTTTTTCTACCGTAAACTAGCCGTTGGGATGAGAAGGGATTTAAATTCGAGTAGTATCAACCAACGGTCAAAAAGTTTTTTCAAATCTCTTCTTTCCTCAAACGGTCGTCCCTCTTCCTTGCTTTCCTCGCCGCTCGCTAAAAGAAACCCTTTAAAAGAACCTCGCGCTCCAATTCTCTCTCTCTCGCTTCTCTGTACTGGTAATTTGTATTGTCAAGAAGAAGAAGAGGAGAACGATTCAAAGGATCAGTTTCTTCCTCTTCTTCTCTGTCGACATCTGAGAAAAATCTCTCTGTCTTTTTTTTTTCTGGTTCCTCTCGGAATCAGAACCATCGCAGCTCTGAAACTAAAAGTTTAGCGAAGATGACAAGGAGAGAGAGCCATGATAACATCACAGGAGGCGCCGCTGCCGCAGCTGTTGCTTCTCCGCCTCCATTTCCGGCGAGCAAGCAACCTCAGCCTGTGGCCAGGGGAACTGAAGGCCAATCTGTTCTGAAGAGGTCCTCGTTTCATCTCATCCTTCTCTCTAAACACCTATTTACCCATTCTTTAACTTCTTTGAGCCCTACCTATTGTAATTTTCTAGAATTTGCTGGTTTTATTCCAATCAAATTGCCATTCTGTTGAAATTTCTTGTTTTCTTTCTCTTTTTTCTGTTTTTTATTCTTCCGTTGCTGAAAATTTCAGACTGTGGGGGTGTTGGGATTTATTAAATCCAGATTTAACATGAATCGAAGGTAAAATTAGGACCTTAAATCCAAAATTTCATAAATTCATGAATTATGTTAGACTGGATTTACTAAATCCGATCATAAATTCTGTTAATAGTGCGCTACCAAAGAGTTAGAACATAATCAATTGGGGAAGGCCTATTAATTCTTAACCCCCAAGTCTTCATTCATCCACTTAATTTCTCTATCTAAGATTTTTTTTTATTTCTCTTTTCTAATCTTGATTGAATACTTTTTGCTCGATAAAATGCTAGGAAAATCCCTTTTATTAACTTGTTTCTGTGTCTTTTTCTTACATTCTACAAACAGGCTGCAATCTGAACTTATGGCTCTAATGGTAAGAATACAGCAAATTCAGCATCAATGTTAAATTTTTTTTTTTTTTTCATTTGTTAAGCCTTTTTAATTACTTAAAAGTAATGTAATTCATTCAGATGCGTGGTGATCCCGGCATATCAGCATTTCCTGAAGGAGATAACATCTTCTGCTGGAAAGGAACAATCAATGGAGGAAAAGATACAGTTTATGAAGGAATGACATTCAAACTCTCCCTTTCCTTTTCTACTGATTACCCTTTCAAGCCTCCTAAGGTGAAGTTTGAGAATCCATGTTTCCATCCAAATGTAGATCTCTCTGGCAACATTTGCTTGGATATCCTTCAGGTTTTTTTTACAACAAATTTTTTCTTACATTTCAATTATCCATCTTTCTCAGTGATGTTAGATTTTGATTTTTGATCTATCTGTCATTGATTTGTCCAGGACAAATGGTCATCAGCATATGATGTTAGAACAATTCTGCTCTCAATTCAGAGTCTCTTGGGAGGTAAAAACATGCATATTTTGTTAAGTTAGAGATTTATTCAAATCCTTCAACTTCATAACTGGTGTATTTTCTATACCTTGTTGGGTTGCAGAGCCTAACAATGAGTCACCTCTCAACACCCAGGCTGCTGCACTTTGGGCTAATCAAGAAGGTCTTGAATCTTCCATCTTTAAGATTAATATAAATCAATAGAAAATTTAGGAGTTGTGCTTAACATTCCTCATGATTTCTGTGTTGCAGAGTTCAAAAAAATGGTAGAGAAGCTCTACAGACCTGCTTGATTTTTTTGGGCTCTTTGATGGATGGGGCGAAGATCTGCTAACCTGCTTAAGCATAAATAACCGTCTGATTTTTTCTTTTAAAGTGAATTGAAAGAACATTTGTTTTGCATTGAATTGAAAGCATTCATGTTCCGTCTGATTTTTTTTTCTTAAATGAATTGAAAGAACATTTGTTTTGCATGTGTAGTATAGGCTTAGGACATTTTAAATGAAATTTCAACTCTTCTTCTGATATCTTTCTCAAGCCTTGAATTGATTATCTCATTCAAAATGACTATACTTCCTAAACGGTACATATAAATGCATTCACAGAACTAGTTTTGATGCATATAAATATGTATTCAACATTAGATAATAAGAGAATGAGAGGGACACAGAATGAATGACTTCTATTTTTACATATCTTTCTCTGCATTTTATTTTTATATATTCCATTTTATATTTCTTCAAGTTCAAAATTTGTTGATGGCATGGGCAGATTCGATTGATGTGTGATTTTTTTATGATGACAAACGTATATGGTTGAACTAAGAAATGAATATGAGGTGCAAAATAGATTGAGTTGAAGTATCATTTCTAAACAAGTATTCATAGAAAAACATTCATAATCAAATTAAAGCAGAATGATCATGGAATTGTCAACAATTTAGCAAAGTTTATGCATAGTAACCTACTGTTTTTGATATAATCAACATAGAGAATTAAACATATAAGAATAAGTAATAAAAACTAGATTTAGTAGAAGTATCATTGTCTAAACAAATTATTCATAGAAAAACATGCATAATCAAATTAAAGTAGAATGATTATGAAATTGTCAACAATTTAGCAAAGTTTATGCGTAGATTCCATGCAAAACCCAACTATAACCTACCCTTTTCGATATAATCAACATAAAGAATTAAACATACAAGAATAAGTAATAAAAACTTGATTGAGTTGAAGTAGCATTGTCTAAACAAATTATTCATAGAAAAACATGCATAATCAAATTAAAGTAGAATGATTATGAAATTGTCAACAATTTAGCAAAGTTTATGCACAAGAATAAGTAAGTAATAAATGATTCAATGCACAATCAAATTAAAACTGCCCATTTTTGATATAATCAACATAGAGAATTAAACATACAAGAACAAGTAATAAAAAAGATTCAATGCATAATCAAATTAAAACCACCCTTTTTTGATAGAGTTGCAAAGTAGATTGAATTATAGTAGAATTATTATGGAATTGTCGACTATTTGCCAAACATTAAATCAAGTAGAATTATCAATGTTGTAGTTTTATTCATAGATTCCATGCAAAACTAACCTACCCCTTTTTGATATAATCAACATTGAGAAATAACATAACCCTTTTTCATAAAATCAACATAGAGAATTAAACATACATGAATAAGCAATAAAAAGTCTTGGTGCATAATCAGATTAGAACTAACCCTTCTTGATATAATGAAATTAAAAAAAAAAAATTAAGTATAGAAGAACAAACAAGAGACGAGAACATAAAAACTAATCAAAGCAATACAATTGAGCAATAAATAGACATCATATTAGTCACATCATAATTAAAACTACCCCTTTTTGATATAATCAACATATAGAATTAAACATACAAGCACAGGTAATAAATGATTCAATGCATAATCAAATTAAAACTATCACTTTTTGATATAATGAAAATAAAGAATAAAATTAATCAAATTAAAGCTACCCATGTTTGATATAATCAACATAGAGAATTAAACGCACAAAAATAAGTAATAAAAACGATTCAATGCATAATCAAATTAAAACCACCCTTTTTTGATAGAGTTGCAAAGTAGATTGAATTATAGTAGAATTATTATGGAATTGTCAACAATTCGCCAAACATTAAATCAAGTAGAATTATCAATGTTGTAGTTTTATTCATAGATTCCATGCAAAACTAACCTACCCCTTTTTGATATAATCAACATTGAGAAATAACATAACCCTTTTTCATAAAATCAACATAGAGAATTAAACATACATGAATAAACAATAAAAGTCTTCGTGCAGAATCAGACTAGAACTAACCCTTTTTGATATAATGATATTAAAAATTTTAAGTATAGAAAAACACAAGAAACGAGAACATAAAAACTAATCAAAGATATAAAATTGAATAATAAAAAGACATCATGTTAATCACATCATAATTAAAACTACCCCTTTTTTTATATAATTAACATATAGAATTAAACATACAAGCACAAGTAATAAACGATTCAATGCATACTCAAATTAAAACTATCACTTTTTGATATAATGAAAATAAAGAATAAAATTATACAAGAATAATTAATAAATGAGAATATAATAACCAATTAAAGCAACTATTGTTGTTGTTTCATATAAGCATTCATAGATTCCATGCATCAACTATAACCTACCCCTTTTTGATCTAATCAACATAGAGAAATAACATAACCCTTTTTGATATAATCAACATAGAAAGATAACATAATCCTTTTTGACATAATCAACATAGAAAATTAAACATACATGAATGGTAATAAAATTCTTGGTGCATAATCAGATTAAAACTAACCCTTTTTCATTTAATGAAAATAAAGAATTTAAAAATAGAAGAACAAACAATAAATGAGAACATAATAACTAATCAAAGTAATAAAATTGAGCAATAAATAAACATCATATTAATCACATCATAATTAGACATAAAAAGCAAAACATTTATCATGATATCCATCATTAAAAGCAAACCTATGCTCATGGAGTTCACATAGCAGAAATAATAAAGTATCAGGGGGTAATATCCAACAACAACATCTGGCTAGTTGTTGTCAAGTTTCGACTAGATCTATCTCTATTTAGCCATTTTTTAAGCTGACTACTTTGAGATTTAGGGGGTAACAACCAACAACAACATCTGGCTAGTTGTTGTCAAACTATTCTTGTCAAGTTCCGACTAGATCTATCTCTATTTAGGTATTTTTCAAGCCGACTACTTTGAGATTCACCCATATATGTATCCATATAATCACATATAATCAACAATCCAACTTTGTTTCATCCATGCCATTTCTACTAAGATCCACCTACAAAACCAATTTATATGAGTTTTTTTTTTAATTTTTTTTTTATTTTAGTGTCTTCCCACTTCTTGTTATTGCTTTTGTAGTTAGTCTAACTTTAACCCTAAAATCATGATTAAAAGCTGACCTAAGCTCATGGAGTTCACATAACAGAGATACTAAAATATCAAGGGTAACCAACCTAAATCAAAATCTGACTAGTTGTTGGCAAGCTATTCTTGTTAAGATTCGATTAGATCTATGTTTGTTTGGCCATTTTAAAGCTGACCGCTCTGATATTCACCCATATATGCATCTATATAATCACATCTAATCAACAATCCTACTTTGTTACTTCCTTGCCATTCCTAATAAGATCCTTTTACACTTTTTTTTTAGGTTTGTGTGTGTGTGTGTGTGTGTGTGTGTGCATTTCTTTAATTGAGGTATGTTGTGTCTTCTACACCTTGTGATTGCTTTTATAGTTAGTCTTACTTTAACCCTAAAATCATAACTATGCTTCTGAACTCATTTCTTTAATTGAGGTATAAATGTCTATGCATCCTTACACTCCTTGCTTAATTGCTTAGGGTCCCTCTCTAATCAACACTCTTACTTTGTTATTTTCATGCCATTTCTACTAAGATCCACCTACACAACCATTTTTTTTAGCTTTTTTTTTTGTAGTATCTTCCCACTCCTTATTATTGTTTTTGTAGTTAGTCTTACATTAATCCAGAATTCATAACTATGCTCCTAAACTCTTTTCTACAACTAATAAGAGTGTCTCGTCTCCCCCGCTCCTAAGATGAAGCGAAAAGACACCCTACTTGCATGGGTTTTGATGTAGGGCAAGAGGGTGAAAGCGAGCACTGGAAACGATGTTCAATTTAGTTTGATTAATCTGAGGTATTGATACTCAAATTCCCTTGTTGCGGCTCCATACTCCCCAATCATCACTGATGTCATATGTTCCCACAACTTCAAGAATGTTCTTTAAGAAAAAATTCTCTCAGGCTTGGACCAAATGACTGACCAATATCAATTGATGGCTTGAGAGGCTTCCTACTTTTAGTTGAAGGTTCTCCTGGAGGCTGAGAAAAAAGTGGCCAAGGACAATGATACAGTTTAGGGTGACGTAGCAGAAAATTGAGTGAATATGCCTTAAGCCGAAGTACTCAGACTGTTGAAGTTAATGTTGGCTGCTCAGACGTCTTCATCAATTGATGACATTGATGAATACATTTGATGAGCTCTTGGCCGACCTTTCTTCCCATCCTTGGTAGGTGGAACTCCTCGCTACACAGCTCAGGGTAGGAGTGTCCTTAGCTATCGACTAGATGATAAAGGCGACACTAGTCTCCCCGGAGTTGGTTGATATGAATAACTTTGCTATCTCAATTTTTAAATTGAGGGAGGGTGAGGAAGAGTACAACGATGAAGATGATGGTGAATCTTAAAATATTTGACTTGCCTTTGACTTCACTTGTAATAGGAAGAATATTTTTCATTTTCTTTTTGACACTTGTAAGGAAACATATAAGAAATTCTTTGTGTAGAAAAGTATAGGAAATTCTTTGTAATTTTTCAACCGTGAAATAAAACAAACTTTTGGTTAGTTTCCACCTTTTTTTGAATTTTCTTTCTCTTGTAATAAATACTTGGGATAATTAATGGATCGGTTTTTTCAAGAATTTCTTTGGTTAATTTTACTGAGTTAATACCTGAATCAAGTCTTACAATTCCCATGTCTTGCTTTCTCGGTTAGGTCATAACCTTGTACGAGTTGCACCTTATGCTAGGCGTATTAAGCCAATCTTATCAAAGCCTTCATAAGGGTAACCATCAAGACTTGCTGCTAGGGTGATTCATACACCTACTATAGATCTTATTGCTAAGACCCACCGCCAGAGCATGACCCTTTTCAAGCTGGGAGATATAGAATTTATGATTCGTGAGTGATGTGGGTCGGTTCTTGTACATTTTTGTCAATCAGATGTTAATCATTGCTGTCAGTCAACCTTAAATAATTTTTACTGGTAAGATGTTTATTGATCATTATTGGTTTCTAAAGATCTTTACCAATTAGACATCGTGCGTCACTGTTAGTTTTTTCACTCGGGTATAACCATCATTAGCGGGTCGGTTCAAGTTCCTTGAGTGTTAGTAGGACCTCAACGACCACTTACGTGAAA